CCCGCCCGCGCCCCCCACCTTGAGTGTATAGTCCTCTGCGCCTAGCTTGTAGCCTTTGCCCCCCAGCTTCAGAGTGACCTCGGGCAGGCTGGACACCTTCTCGCAGGGGATCATGTACTGGAAGAGGAGGAGACAGCAGTGCGTGGATTGGGGGAAGCAGCCCGGCCACCCTGGGCGCCCCCACCGCCCGCCCAGCCGCTCACCTCGCCCTGGATCAGCGGCACTGCCCCGATGGCCTTCTGCAGGGCGCGCACCTCCTCCACGGGGCCCACCACCAGGGACGTGCCCGTGTCCACGATGGCCTCGCAGCCAGCCTTGCACAGGGTCAGGCTGTTCCCCACGTCCACCCTGCAGGACAGGTGGCTGAGTCCCCCCCAGGCCACCTGGTGCCCCCCACGGCAGGCTGCGTCCCACCCAAGGTCAGCACCAGGAGCCGAGAGCAGGCTCACAGCCGCGTGTGCCGTGTGCCGCATGGGATGGACAGGGCACGGGGTCCAGGCCGCCCCAACCCCACCGCCCGGCCGGTACTCACTGCTCCATGTGCACCTGCCAGTACGCCTTGCGGGTGACGTTGAGGTAGCTCAGGGAGCCCGTGTAGTACTTGGAGTCGGTCCCACCCAGCATCAGCTCGCCCCCCGGCTGCGCGTTGGGGTCCCTGGAAGCAGAGGGAGGCGGGGAGTCGAGGCCTGGCCAGCAGTCCAGGACGAGGTGGGGCGGTGCTGGCTGCGGCCGGGAGGTCAGAGGGAAGGGCGGGCAGGGCGACCTCGAGGGCCTTCCCGGGACTGCAGGGACGCAGTGTCCAGAAGGAACAGAGCTTCCTTCTCCGATCCCGCACCCTGGGGACTGCGGGCACTCCCGTCCCCAGTCCCCACAGGGTGAGACCCTGCTCCAGCCTCAGGGCTCCTGGGCTGCCAGCGGGGAGGGTCAGGCCTCAGGCCAGTGGGCAGGTGGGAAGGGAACACTAGGAGCCCAAGGAGGGGACGCTGTCTGCCTGGAAGAAAAACCAAGGAGGGCCTCCAGGAGGCGGTGCCGGGCAGCCCGTGAGCTGAGCCGCCTCGTTCCGCCCCAGGACCTTCGCACGCACTGCTTCCAGGCCCAAATGCTCCCGCGCTCGCTCCCGCCTCAGACCTCAGCTTTCCGTTCACGGCCGGAGCGGGCGGGCCCCTCCTCTCACCGGGACTTACGTCCCGAGGTCCTGGGACATCGTTCTCCGGGCCTGTCCCCGAGCTCGGAAGCACCGGGCAAACCCTGTTCCCCCGCCACCAAGGCCTCCGCGTCCCAGCAGAAACCAGACACGCCCCCAGCACCCTGCTCGCCCCGACCCAGCCGTCCCTGTGAGCCACACCCCTCACTCCCTCCCCGAACTCTACCTCCGCCTGGGCCCACGGCCGGAGTCACGGTGCTGGGCTGTCCGCCCCCGAGCCCAGGCCCGGCCGACCTCCTGGGTGCCCCTCCGCCAGGGCCGAGGGCTCCCAGGGCAGCGGCCCCACCCAGGTCCTGTGCCCCAGCATCGGCAGACCGCTGACCGAGGGCGAGACAGAGGGCAGCACCCATGTAGAGCCAAACGCAGTCAGACCCCGAGCGCCAGGTGGGCCTTCGAGGTGGTGGGCCCTAGAGCAGGGCGCAGTGACCAGCAGGCTGTCCCTGCCCACACCCACACCCACACCCCAGCTGCGTCACTGCCTGAGAAGAGCAGACCGAGGCTGGACGTGTGAGACCCTTTCTGGGCCGCTGGCCATGGGTCACCTGCCACGTGATGCTGGGTGGGACCCCTCTGCCTGGCACTGCCAAGAGGCTGCTCTGGCGTAGGGACCGCCCCACGGTCTCCCCGAGCAGTGCTGCCTCGTGCCTACCCTCCCCAGTCACCGCCGGATCTCCAGACCCAACCGGCTACCTCCCCTGGACCCCTGCCTCCAGGGCGCCTGTCACAGACCAGGGCTCACGGCCTCGTCCCCTCGGGGCTGACAGCCACGCGGGGTCCGCATCTGTCCGTCACCAGCTCTGGCTCTTGCAGGAGCGAGGCCCACCCACCAAGACCCCAGACCTCCTGTGGGGAAACCCCCGGCAAGTCATGGCTCTCTCTAGGGGCTGCTAGCTGCTCTGTGCGAGGTCAGAGGTCAGGGGCTGTGGCCCAGTGCCCGGAGGGTCGACACGGGGTGCGGCAGCACGCCCCGCTCCCCCCTCACCCCCCCACCCCCCACCCCCGCACTGCAGCTCGGCCGGGCTGAGGGGGACGGTGGGCGCCGCCCACCTGTTCAAGTAGAAGGAGAAGATGTTCTTGTCCACCAGCTTCTGCTGCATCAGGTTGTCGAAGACGGGCAGCACGTTGTTGACCGAGATGCGGGGGTAGGCCATGCCCAGGATGCCGTCGAACTTGGCCGCAATGAAGGTGATGCCTGGCTGCTTGGTGGCCTCCCCGAAGATCTGCCTCTCCACCTTGACGCTGCTCGGCGGCGACGGGGCCGACTTACAGGGCACCTGTGGGCCCCGCGGGTCAGTGGGCCATGGGGACCACCGAGCCCCGCCTGAGCCCTGGGCCCCGCACATGGGGGCCACAGCTACGACACCCCGCTGTCCCCGGCCATCGCCTTGCTCACGGGATTTAAGATGGGCAAGGGCAGGAGGGAAGGGCTGGTGACACTGGACCAGGGGTGGCCGGGGCGGCTGGGCACAGGGCTGCGAGGTCTGGACTGTCAGACCGGACCGGAGCAGAGGGAGGCCCCTCGCTCAGGCCCAGCCCTCCCCGGTCCTCCCCAGCAAGGCCGGCTCGGCCCTTGGGCTCAGGTCCTGGACCCTGGGACCCCGTGACCCAAGCCCCACGCAGACTCGAGGCCACACTGCCCCTCCCCCGCGGGCTGCAGAGCGAGAACAGGATGTGGGGAGAACGGCTGTGGGGCCGACACAGGGAGAGACGCCCGGGGAGAGAAGCGTGTTGGCCAACTTCCTGCTTCAGGCCCTCGCAGCACCCCAGGGCACCGGGCAGGCCGAGCGGGGTCGCGGATGTGGGCGGCCTGGGAGGGCGGCCCGTGAGGAGAGAGCCCCGAGGAGAGAGGCTGGGACACCGGTCACTTTCTCTGGGACATCTTTCTGGGTCCTCAAGCCAGCAGCACAGGTGTAAGCCGCCAGAGGGGACTACTTGAGCCCACCCCACAGGGACCCGTGGGCAGGATGCTGGCCTGAAGGAGGCGCTGCTGCCTTCCTGCCCCACTCAGGGCCAGGAGGGGACCATGTTCCTCTTTGCCCCTCACCACCCAGAATGCCAGAGGCGGCACCACGCCCGGCGCTTAACCGGAGGGGATCAGAGCCCCCAGGGACCTGTGGACCCCTCCTGGGGAGGGACGTCCTGCACTCGACCCCAGAGACCCTCTACTGCGGGCACGGCCCTGGAGGGACCCCCACCCACCTCCACCCTCCCCGAGTCCCCCAGCTGCAGGCGTCTGGTGCAGGCCTGGTCCCGAGCACCCAGCTGGCACCTCAAACCTGATGCGTCACAGTGAAACCAGGTCCTCTGCCCCGGACGGCAGTCGTGCTGAGCACCCACCAGGCCCCGGTCCCAGATCTGCCCTGTGTGCCCGGGCCTCAGGGACCACAGGGGCTGAAGCCCTCGCCACGTCGGCAGCTCCCACCCCGCCTCCCTCCAACCCTCCTGGCCACCAGGCCTGCGCCCGGGCCTTCCACGCTGCTTGTCACCGCTGAGCCAGGCTCTGCCTCGCCCTAGGCCTCTGATCAAGCCGTATGTGCCCCCTGCCCTCCGCCCTCTGCCCGCTGACCTCTGCCGGCCACCAGGCTCGAGCCCCTCCAGGCAGCTAGCCCAGAGCCCTGCCCCCGGGGTGGGGTCTCGGCCTGTCGCCCACTGCCCGGGACGGACTCACCGACACGGTGTCCTGGCTCAGGTACCCGGAGAGGCTGCCCGAGCCGTAGTGGATGTCGAAGGCCGTGCCGTTCCTCACGTACGTGCTGGACTTGCCGCTGTTGTACTTGTGGTGGATCCCTGCGGCACGGGGGGCCGTCAGCCTGCCGCCCCGGCCTCCGGCCCCGGCCCCCCGCCGCCCTCCCAGGGCTGGGGTTTGCTGGTGGTGACCCTGGGCCTGGGACAGTGGGCCAACACCCCAGACGTGGTCTCAACCCATTCATGCCCCGCCCCGGCCCAGAGAGAACGAGGCTGGCAGGAACAGGGTCGCCGGGAAGCTGGGCGTCTGGTGTGGCCAGGGGGCGGGAGCGAGCCGCGGAGGAGGGCCAGTGGAGGTCGGGGCTGCCCTCGTCCCCGCTGCCAGCCCACAGGGCAGTTCCCCGGGGGAGTGTGCGCGTGGGGCGGACGGGGCTGGGTGCCCCTTGCTCCCCAACCGCCCTGCCTGCTCCCGGGCCCACGGAGAGGGCGGCTGGGCCGAGACGTGCAGGTGCGACTTACAGCAGGCGATGTCCAGCAGCTTGCAGTGGATGGAGGGGACCCACAGGTTGGAGGAGCCGGTGTCGAAGACGACCGTGAAGCACTGTGGCGGTGTCCCGATGCCGATCTCCCCGTAGTACTGGGCCTGAGGGGGCGCCGTCCATCAGGGCGGGGGCGGGGGGGCACCCGCGGTCTAGACCGCTGCTCCCCGGACCCCCGGGCACAGCCCCACCATCTGCCCAGGTGAGAGCAGGGAAGACCCTCCTTTGAAGGAGGAAACCAGTGGTCCCGGTGGAGTCAGCACAGGCTCAGCCCGCCACCCAGCCTCGGGCGGCAAGGGCCTCGCCGAGGCCGGGGCAGAGTCAGGGCCTGACTCTTCGGCCTCAGCTCCGACCCTGCCCCTGCCCTGCGGGCCAAGCCCGAAGGCTCCTAGGCAGTGGGGTCCGAGCGGCCAAGGGGAGGAGGTGCACCCTGCAGGCTGAGAGTACCTCGTCACCCAGCCACCCCACCTTGACTGCTCTGGGCCTCAGGTCCCCGTCTGCTCACACCGGGGCCAGGGCAGCCTGGGGGTGCTCAAGCGAGCAGGAGCAGCACGTGTAACCCTCCGAGCCTCGGCGGGAAGCCCTGTCCTTGGCCTCTCGTAGATCAGCGGGTACGGGCATTCTCGAACTTGGGGCCACTTGGGCCCTGCCTGCCTGGATAACCCCTTCCCCTGGGAGGGAGACTGGAATGCCGGTCGCCACGTGGTTCTGGCACCAATCCCCCCGGGACATCTTTCCCCAGCTACCTGGCTCCAGGGAGCACCACAGCTGCGGACACAGGACCCAGCAAAAGTGTCCAGGGTGGGTGTGGGGGAGAGTGACTCAGCAAACCTCCCGGTGTGTGGGCACTCGGAAAAACCAGGAACTGGTCACTTGTCCCCGGGCATGTGGCCACCCTCCACCAGCCTGGTCACACGCCTGTGAGGTGCCAGTTTCCTGGCACGGCTGGGGCTCCAGCCAAGCAGGACAGAGGACATAGCCGCCTGTCCTAACTTCAGGCAGAACAATGGCAAATGGACTGCCCAAAACTCAGGGCACACAGAGAAGATGCCTCCGAGCCGGGAGCAGGCTGGCCCGGCCCCAGCATGCTGTGTGGCTTCTGGAACGGTCCAGGTCTGAGCCTATTTCCCACATAAGGAGCAGCAGCAGGGGCTGGATCCCGGGGTGCCCCAGGCCTCTGACACAGCTCCAGGCAGTTAGTCCCGCCCTGGCAGGCAGGCCCCGATACCCAATCTCTGGGACCCCTGGGCCCCACCCTGCAGCCTCCCGGGGCAGGCCCACATCTGATGCTGGCTCCTCCACGCCCTGCTGGTGGCCCTGAGCCCAGCTCCCTCATCTGTAGAGGGTGACGCTGTCCCCACAGGGTAGACTTGAGGACGAGCGCCTGCCCAGTTCTGAGCCGAGGGTCAGTGGCACTTAGGCGAGAAGTTGCGGAGGTGCCCAGGCCACCCCAACTGGTCCCCCAAGCCGGGCAGAAGCCCGGGACTGTGCAAACTGCACAGGAAGTGAACACCCTCATGGGGTAGGGGGCGTGGCCCGGGAAGCTCCGCCCCCACAGGCAGTTCGTCCAACAGGCCACTCTGAGCAGCTTTTCCCAAAGGCCAGCTGTGACAGACCACAACAAGGAGTCAGTGCAGTCCAGGTCTCAGGCCCAGGCCCCACCCGAACTCACGTCCATGTAATTCTTGAGCATCTCAGGGATGGGCCCCCCGCTCACAGCGGGCGCCCCCTGGGCGTATTTCGAAATGGGGCCTTTGGCGATGAGGTCTTCCACGGGGCCCCCCATCTCCGACATGGTCCGGCGGATGGACGTAAACTTGTGCAGAGGGATTCTGTAAGAGGGGATCGGGCCTCCTCAGGGCGGGCTCGCTTCCCCCTCCCCCTCCTCAGCCACCAGAGGCTCTGAAAGCCCCCTCGTCCCGTGTCCACTCTGGTCTCTTCTGTGACAGTGGCTGGTGGGGTCCGTTAGGTGTGGGCAGTCGCCTGCCACCCCTGCAGGAAGTCCTCTGAGCCATCCCATTCGCCTGGGCCCCCAGCCCATCTGCTCCACTCAGACCTCGTGCCAGCACAGTCCCCGCCTCTGCTCCCCGGGGCGGCCACCTCCTGCCATCAGATGGGACCTCGAAGCCACCTCCTGCCGAGAAGCCCTCAACTGCCTGCCCTCGGTCACCCTTCATGTCACCCAGTTTCCTCCCATCATCCTCACCCCGAAATGACCTGGGTCATTTACTGCTGATCTATCTGTCACTCTCCTCACTGGGACACGGAACGCGGGAGGGCGATGACTGCACCTGGAGAGCCAGGGGTCGGCTTCCAGCCAGCCTTCTGCCACCCAGGCCCCACGGCGCCCCACTGCGAGCACCCTGCACGGGGGCCCCCGCCTCCCAGTGCACACGTGCAGCCGGGGCCTCGGTGGTCTGCCCGCAGCAGGGCACACGAGGCTGAGGTTCTGGATCTCTGGGGCCTGGGGCTCCACCATCGAGGGCGGTGTGAGGGGTCCGCCGTCCTCTAGGTCCCCAGCCCCCTAGGTCCCCAGCTCCCCTGGGTCTGAGCTGCTTCCTGCTCCATGGTCCAGGAAAGCACACCTGAGCTAAGTGAACCACTTGGACGAAATGTCTTCCCAGCCCAGGGATCTGGGAGTTCAAGGTCATGGCTGGCTACTCCTGACACGCCCAGGGTGTGTTCCAAGAAGATTGGATTCTTGCCTAAGAGCTGGTAGGCTGGGAGAGCCAGAGATTCTGGCCTGGGGGAGGGACATGCTCCTCCAGTAACCAAGGAAACAGTGGACATCAGTCCCATAGGACCTGGGCTGGTGTGAGGGGCTTTGGCTCAGCTGTCCTGCCCAAGGAGCCCCCCCACTGCTCTCCATGGGGGGTTGTGGGTGGGGCTGGGCAGGCTCAGACCTGCAGCTGCTCCCCCACAAGTGCCCCAGCTGGGACTCCTCCTCCCAAGTCACAGCCCACAGAGAAGCCCACGCAGGACAGCCCTTTGGCAAGGCCCAGCCCCACACAGCCCCGGCCATGTCCCCAGCCCACTCCCCAGCCTGAGGGCCTCACCCACCTGCCCACAGGCAAAAGGCTCACAGCAGAGGTGGGAGGATGCCTGAGCAGACCTAAGACAAAGGCCCCTGGGGAAGCGGGGGGCAGGGTCCGCCCAGAGCACCCTCCCCCGTGGTGAGAGTACAAGCGGCCTTGCAAGAGTGGGACCATGGGGGCCAAGGGGACCCTCTTCATCCTGGCTGGCAGGGCGTGGCACAGCCCTGGTTCGGGCCTGGCAGTCGGTGACCTCACCTGGCACAGAAGTGCAGGCCCTCAGGCATGAGGGGACACGGTCCTCACCGCGGCAGAGCCCCAGCCCCCAGGCCGTCTCTGAGCCAACTCCCTGGCGACTCCGGGGCATTTGGGCCTCCCAGGGTGGCTCTGGGGGTCTCCCAACCCACGGCCCCGTGGTAAGATCCTAGGGGTCAACACCTGGGTCTCTCCACTTTCACACGCGGGCCCTCAGAACAAGCACCCCAACCCACCTGCCCTGGGGAGGCTGGGTTAGCTCGCAGTCACAGCCCCCCTCCCTGTGTTCCCACAAGAAGGGAGGGAGGGGAGTCGCTCGGCTGGCGGGGGCCAGAGCGAACCCTGCATCTGTGAGCTCCCTCGCTCCGCCGGCGGCTGGGCTCTGCAGGAGGCCGCGCGGG